AGTGAACTAAGCGGATTCTGTCGATGTAGGTCACGTTGGAATGTCCAAGGCACCGATGCCGGTACTGTAATGTACCCTACTTTGCACGGCCAAAAACGCATTGACGTCAAACATCCTCTCCGTTGCTTGGTGCGAGCATATCGTGATTTGAAGCACGTGCAATTTCGCTCGGGTGGGATTCCCACCTGTCGTGAACTCCACTCGTCCATTTACTCTTTTATTATGGTTAAACTTTCCAGCCGCTACGCTACAAGATTTTGCCTGCACGCACGAGTTCAAACTCGTATTTTATTGCGTTTCTCAAACATTTAGAAACAGTTAAAAAAATAAAATGTATTAAATAAGTTTAATTTTTTTTATGGAACTTCAATGTTTAGATTTCTTTAACCTACGTTAAATTAAGAGCAAGGCGAAAGAATATATGGTATTTAGCACGTAGAAGACGTATCACGTTTTGGGCATCAGTCCAAATACACACATTAAAAATTTCAATTGCAGTAAACAATTTTAGGGAGTAAATTTAGTACCTTTGTTATTCTATTTTGCATGAAAGGTTTAATACGCCGTTGGTAAATAAATAAAAATATTTATTATTTCTTGTTAAAATATATTCCGCGTATGGATAATAATAAATAATATACATTTCCTTTAAATGTTTTTAAACAAACATTTTTCGCATGTTCCAGTTCGCGAAACTTTATCACAAGTATTTTGTTAATTAAACAGAACTTACTACATTTTTATCATAATTTTTTTCGTGGAATAATAAACATTTGGAATTATTATACATGGATGTGAAAAGTACGCGGGGATTTAAACTCTCAACAAAGTAAGTATCTAATTAAAATGCAATGACGCACGACTCTAAATGAACCCGCGTAAGTCGATTTACATTAACTGGATTGCGAGCTCTCTTTATCTAATAAGTATTAAAAACATACATCGTCCGTTAAGTATATCGCATTCGCGTGTGGGGTTCTGTTGCCATATTCTTGTTTACTACAAAAAGAAGACAGATGAATAACTTGATAATATTTACTCGATTTACTACGCTTATCACTGTACGCAACAAATTGTTGCCAATACATAAAGTACAAATAAAACGGCGGACGATAATGTTTACAGTTAATATTAAGGAAAAAGTTTATGTGATTACTACGAATTGGGTTTTTTTAGTTAACTCTGGTATTTTTTCTTTTGGATTAAGCAAAAACATTTTTACGACGTAATGTTATGCTAGGACATGTACAATTAGGTTTTAATTGACGTGTTAGGTATTTACATTTTTTTTTGCTGAACCTAACACTATTTAAACAGGTAATTTTTAAGTTTTTATAAATTAAAAATAATACGAAATTTTCAAAAAATCACATCAACTGTATTTTTAGGAATCTTGATATGATATGTTAACTTGTAGCTTAACGATTCTAGTTTATGATAATATGATATAAAATCTATAAGATATTATTGAAATTTCCTGGAAAGAATTATTAAAGAAGAAATTAACAAATTTATTAATCAAAAATAATACGAAACTTTCAAAAAAACATTTCAACTGTATTTCTAAAAAATTTTGTATGATATGTATGTTAAATTGTAGCTTAAAGATTCTACTTTATGGTGTAATATAAAAATCATAAGATATTATGTATTATTGAAATTTATAGAAAAAAATTAATAACGAAATTATCAAAAGTAATACGAAATTTTTAAAAATTCATATCGTCTGTGTTATTAAGAATCTTGATATGATACTATGTGTGTTAAATTGTAGTTTAAAGATTCTAGTTTATGATATGATATAAAAATTATTACATAATATTATTAAACTTTCCAGGGAAACAAATTTATAAATCAAATATAATATGTAATGTTAAAAAAAATCATATCGATCCTATTTTTAAGAATCATGACATGATATGTATGTCAAATTATAGGTTAAAGATTCTATTTTATGATATGATATAAAAAAGATAAGATAATATTATTGAAATTGCCAGAAAAAAATTATTAAAGAAGAAATTGTCAAATTAATAAATCAAAAGTAATACGAAATTTGCAAAAAATTATATCGACTCTATTTTCAGGGATCATGACATGATATGTGCGTTAAATTGTATCTAAAAGATTCTAGTTTATGATATGATATAAAAACTATAAGATAATATTATTGAAATGTCCAGGGAAAGGTTATTAAAGAAGAAATTAACAAATTTATAACTCAAAAATAATACGTAATGATCAAAAAACCATATCGGCTCTATTTTTAAGAACCATGATATGATATGTATGTCAAATTATGGTTTAAAGATTCTGTTTTATGATATGATATAAAAAGGATAAGATAATATTATTAAAATTTCCAGAAAAGGATAATTAAAGAAGAAATTGACAAATTTATAAATCTTAAATAAAACGTTATGTTCAAAAAATCACGTCGACTATATTTTTAAGAAGTTTGATGTGATATGAATGTTAAATTGTAGCTTAAAGATTCTAGTTTATGATATGATATAAAAATTATAAGATAATATAATTGAACTTTCCAGAAAAAAAGTATTAAGGAAGAAATTGTCAAATTTATAAATAAAAAATAATACAAATTTTCGAAAAATCATATCGACTGTATTTTCAGGGAACATGATATGATATGTATGTCAAATTATGGCCTAAAGATTCTAGTTTATGATATTATATAACAAGAATAAAATAATATTATTCAAATTTCCAGGATATAATTATTAAAGAAGAAATTAACAAATTTATAAATCAAAAATAATACGATACTTTCAAAAAATTATATCGACTGTATTTTTAGGAATCATGATATGATATGTATGTCAAATTATAGCTTACAAATTCTATTTTATCATATGATATAAAAAGGATAAGATAATATTATTGAAATTTCCTGGAAGTAATTATTAAAGAAGAAATGGTTAGATTTATAAATCAAAAAGAATACGAAATTTTCAAGGGTCATATCGACTGTATTATCAGGGATAATGATATGATATGTATGTTAAATTGTAGCTTAAAGATTCTAGTTTGTGATATAATATGAAAATTATAAGATAATATTATTGAAATTTCCAGGAAATGATTATTAAAGAAGAAATTGACAAATTTATAAATCAAAAATAATACGATACTTTAGAAAAATCATATCGACTGTATTTTTAGGAATCATGATATGATATGTATGTCAAATTATAGCTTACAGATTCTATTTTATGATATGATATAAAAAGGATAAGATAATATTATTGAAATTTCCTGAAAATAATTATTAAAGGAGAAATGGTTAAATTTATAAATCAAAAAGAATACGAAATTTTCAAGGATCATATCGACTGTATTATCAGGGATAATGATATGATATGTATGTTAAATTGTAGCTTAAAGAGTCTAGTTTGTGGTATGATATAAAAATTATAAGATAATGTTATTGAACTTTCCAGGAAAAAAATATTAAGGAAAAAATTGTCAAATTTATAAATCAAAAATAATACTTAATATTAAAAAAATCATATTGACTCTATTTTTAAGAACCATGCTATGTATGTTAAATTATAGCTTAAAGATTCTATTTTATGATATGATATAAAAAGGGTAAGAAAATATTATTGAAATTTCCAGGAAAAAATTATTAATAAAGAAATTGTCAAATTTATAAATCAAAAATAATACGAAATTTTCAAAAAATCATATCGACTGTATTTTCAGGGATCATGATATGATATGTATGTTAAATCGTAGCTAAAAGATTCTAGTTTATGATATGATATAAAAACTATAAGATAATATCATTAAAATTCCCAGGAAAAGATTATTAAAGAAGAAATTGACAAATTTATAAATCAAAAATAACACGAAAACTTTCAAAAAATCATATCGATTGTATTTTTAGGAACCATGATATGATATATATGTTAAATTGTAGCTTAAAGTTAAACTATCTTAAATCAAAAATAATACGAAGTTATCAAAAATTCAACATAATGGTATTATTGATTTCAATGAAGATAACGTATCTTCCAAAACAAGTCATCTCCGAAAAAATAAAATCAATGTTTGGTACAGGTAAACAAAAAAAAACAATCAAAGGTTGTCCTTAAAAATTGTTACTTGTATAAAAACAATTTTGAACTGTTTTCAAAATGACCAATTTAATTAACGTTGTTTTACCAAATTTTGAAAATTCTTTTTTATTATCAACAATGACTTGTATCTTATTATGCAATTCATAGCTTTACTTTCAATTAAAAAGTAACAAAACAAGTTCGTTTAAAAGTTCATTACTGTGCTAATTATTTACGGATGATTTTGTTCTCGAAATCAAAACCTTTAAAACTTTTACTTTTTTTGAAGTGAGTACTCAACTCACTAAAATAAACCAGGCAATTTAATCTGTAAGAAGTACTACATACTACATATAAATATAGTCATTGCTCCCAAACGAGATAAGTAATTGTTTTTCCCGCATTATCAGATTAAATGATTTCGCCATACTAGTTAAATTTCTCGCGAAGGTTTGAATGCACCAATAAATAATTCTACTGCGTAATTTGGAAATCAACAATTTGGCATTCAATGGTGAAGGGCGGAAAATTTAGTATTAGGAAAATCGAATATGAAACCCACAGATTCCGAGAATCGTCATATGAAATTTTGGGGGCGGTTTAAAACCGGGTCAAAATCGATTTATGAATGGAAACACGGTTTTTCTACGAGACGTCCTTCAAACTTGGCACGACTTACATAAGGTTACTGCACGCATGGATTAATACACCGAGAGAGTGTATTTTGAATTTCCCCCGGACCCGAGGATAGTAAGAAATGAGTAATCAAGTTCCGACAAGTCTCAGAATCCGATGGCTCAGGCGACGACATTCCACGACCTGGGTATTCCTAGTATTATTTGCCGTTATCCCCACTTTCAACGAAATTTCCCCACCATTCTCCCGTGTATATAAACAACTCCCCATGACGAAACGATATTATTTTCCCACCAAACTTCCTCGAGATCACTCGCCGGTTTTTAAACTTCAACGTGTGAACGTGTTATTTCATAACATTAAATCATCAGGAGGTGTAGTGAAATTATTGTTTTCTTAAAATTATATAAACAGTTTTCTCTCATTGGATAAAACACAAGAAAGTGCTTCAAAATCCGTGTTTTAATAACCAAGTGAAAATATCTAAGAAAGTGGATCCACACCTTAGTTACGCTGCAGTATCCAAAATGTGTATCGCTAAATTTGATCAAAGCAAAGGAACCCAAATGAATAGGTAGGTTTCAAAAGATCAAAAAGATCCGAGTTAAACCAGAAAACATTTCATAAAACATAACCTCATAATAATAACCACTCTAATAATGCCTTCTTTATATTACAGAAACATTGGGCAAGTTATAACTGGCGTTTTAGCCCAGGCCAAATCAGAACGCCGATTAATTCACGGCTTATACGAAACAGCCTCATATCTTCATCAAAATCCTGATGATGTCCTGGTTTGTCTTCTACCAGAAACAAGAACTGAAGATCCAACTATCCACATGCAAGAAGTCCTCTTAGAAGCTTTCTGTTATGAGTACGAAATTCCGGTTATTCGAGTGGATAGTAGTAAACGTCTTGGCGAATTGTGCGAAGAAAATTCAGCGTGCAGTTGCGCCATCGTTACCAGGGACCCAAATATTCCTTGGGATGAAAATTCCGACCCGCCTGTATCACCGGAAGAGAAAACCCTTCAAGATTTCTACGAGTACACATTGGAGCAATTCCCAAGACCAGTAATCGAATTGCCGATATGAACTCGATTAGAGAAAAATGAAGACCCTTGACCGGGATTATGGCATTTATATTTTATTAAAAAGTCATTCCTCCGTGTGGCTAAACACACAATGATATTATATCAACATGATACAGCGTTGTGTAATACTAAAAAAATCGGAATAAGGGGGCAGCTTGATGTCTTATGTGAGAGTTTTTATAAAATTCTCGTTTTAACTGTAATTAATTAGGGTTGGAAACGTTTAAGCAATTTACCCTAATAAGTTAATAATATTGTTAAAGACATCACAGCTGTTGCTATTAAAAAAATAATAAGTAAATAGAATGTATGAATATACTTAAATTTGTATAGATCTATAAATCTCGTTATAGAATTGTTTTTAATGAGATTTAAGCGACTTAATGATTTGTTGTGATTATTGTAAGAAAGAGATTTTATATAAAAAGGTGTACCTACCTTTTAAAGAGTTGATTAATTATTACTTAATAAAAATGATTTTGTTATAATTTATTGGCTTTTATTTGTTTGTTTGTTGAAAATGACCCACCTTTATTACTTTTGAAAACCACGGTAACTTTGTGATACAATAGTTCGATTATATTCGATATCTTATGTATATAAACCACCTTTCCACGAATTTGTATTTATTGCGCATATACATAAAGTAATCCTTGTTTATAAATATATAAAATTATAAAAAGTATTCCTATAAACATTATTAAAAGCTTATGAGATTGATGTTTTTGTTATTTATTTTATTTAAACTAAAATTCTTTACAAAGTTAAAGGAACATAACGTTCATGATACGCCTAATGGTTTGGCAACCAACATTACAATTTTAATACAATAATTATTGTGTTTTTGCACGGTAAGTTCTATATAAATTTGGTTCATGGTCCAAAATGTAAATTCATGTAATAGTACATGGTAATTTTAAAACAATTACTTATTAAACAAAACGGTTATATTAAAATTGAATCGGTGAGTGGAAGACGAGTCCATGTGCAGATTAATAAATATTACAGGAGATAGAAAAAACTATTTATATCGAAAAGCAACAGTACTGCAATGTTATCGTCAAAAAAGAAGTTGTTCATATCGTTCCATAGAAATGTTCTATGGAAAAAAATCAAATTTTGTTTTAAAAAATGTCTACACAACTAGAAATTTTCTTCGACGCCGACGTTTCGTTTTCGCAGGTTTATTTTTTCTTATGAATATAGGATAATTAATTTTGATTTCAATGATATGTCACAATGTATTTCATTTAAAAAAAAACATTGAAAACGAAAAATCAAGAAGTTGTAGGCAAAAAACGAGTCATTTTTTTGTTTTTCGGCCATATTTTAAAAACTAAAACGCTAGATCCAAAAACTTTGTTGAAAAATGATGAGCTCTAAGATACGCAACTTTGCCCCCATTTGACCATTTCTGTATCTCTTATGGTTTCTGAGATCCCAATGGTGGGGGTTGACTTTGAATTACCTGTATATACAATGAACTCGACTGAATTACCTGTTGTAAATCAGAAAAGATGCATGAAAAGAAGCAAACAAGGCCAATACGGTTAGTAAAATAATAACTGTCCCAAAAAAAAACATCAACGTTAATTCCCTAGTGTAAAAATGTCATGCTTTTGGCACACGCAGAGATTCTGTGTAAAAGAACCAAGACTATCAAATAACTGAAAACCAATGCAAATGAATTCTTAAGCATCATCAAGAGTATCAAGCAATCCTTGATACAATCCTGATATTAGAAAAAAGAAGGAAGAAATGGCAGTTGCCAAAGGTCTCACAAGACAAAACGTTGATACACTAATGACTCCAAAACATAACATTCGCTATGGAGATTGAACAAAAATCTAAAAAGACCTACCACCTTCGATTAGAAATTATGACGATAGCTGGACCAGAACTAACGAACAAACAGTTTCCAAATATATATGTACATTTCAACCTACACCAGAGAACGATACTCTCCCACTGTCCGATATCATAGAACAGGAAATCAGAGTAATGCCACTCATCTCTCCAGTTGAAACTATGAAAGAAATCGGAACCCATATTAACCCAAAAAAAGCACTTGGTGTCGACCTTATAACCGGTGGGATGCTGAAAGAGCTTCCGAGAAAAGTAATAATTAAAATAACTAACCGCAGCAGTCTGTACAATCGCCAAACCGGGAAAGCTACCTCAGGATACATCGGCACTTATCGGACAAAATTACGATTCCCGATAATATCTAAACCGTTTGAAAAACATAACATCAATTTTGATTGAGAAATCAACATTATACGATTGATCAAATTTATAAAATTACTCATATTCTCTCAAGAAAGAGAAGCGAAGCAAGCGACGTTGCTAGATATCAACACTATGTTGAGAATCCTAATAGTAATTAATAAGTGTTTTATTCATATTTCTCTTTCTATAAACAATTTTAATTTTTTTGATTCTTGTATGTATTTGTTCATAGACATAGAGGGTGCTTTTGATAACACTTCCTACGAATCCATAGAGAATGCTCTAAACGTGAAAGATATACATCCGTCGTATATCTATCGTATATATATATACATGTTGAAAAGTCGGCAGATCACAGCCAGTCTGGAAGGCGAGTCGTTGACTATTAACGATATCCCCAAGGGGGAGTGCTCTCACCTCTCCTATGGGGTGCCTGGTAGTTGATGACTTGATGAACACCTTAACAAAAAAAGGCTTCATGATTCAGGGGTATGCTGATGATCTGGTAATCACAATGCGAGGTAAATATGACACAATCATAACTCAATTAATGCAGAAAGCCCTATTACTCACCAGCACTTGGTGCGGAAGCAATGGGCTCAGCACTAATCCAAACAAAATCGAAATAGTTCTTTTCACTCGGAGAAGGAAGCTACAATTTAGAGCACCCTTCATTGAAAGCATAATTATTAACCTCAAAATAGAAGTTAAATACCTAGGGGTAATACTAGACAGTAAACTAAACTGGAACTCCCACATAGACAAGCTGAGGAAAAAGGCCATTTGATTAACCAGATCTTCCGCAGGCTCCTCGAAGGATACTGGAGACTCAAACCACGAATGGCTCATTGGGCCTACGTAGCATTAATCAGACCCATGGTTTGTTGGCCAAAAACAAATCATAAGACAGCACGACAACAGCTGGCACAAATCCAGCGGTTAGCATGTCTTAATATAACGGATGTAATGAGATCTTGTCCGACGACTGCTTTTGAAGCCCTACTCGGTCTCACACCACTTTATTTATATATACAAAAGGAGGCAGCTTTAAGTGCCTTATCACTTAAGGTGTTGAAAACAGGGTTTTCACTCAAGTGGATGAAGGGTAACCTCAGAAAACACTTAGAAATCCTCAAGAACCCATGTCTAAATCACTTGATTGAAATTAAAACTTACCTTATACCGACAGAATACAATTTCGATCAGCCATATTATATCATATATGATATATACATATATATATATATATATATATATATATATATATGTCCCGTTAAGCGTACGGAGCGGCTGTATCTCAACAACGGTAAGGCCTAGAGGTTTGGAAAAAAAATCTTTATAAGCAAAGTGGGCAAGAGAAATAGCTGGAAATTATTTTGAAGTTCGTAATTCGACCGCTAGGGGGCGTAACTGCCATAGAGAAACATAAAATTCCCGCTATCTCAGAAAGTTAGACGATGAGCTATAACTTTGACAACATCATTTAGTAGCTTGGATAATACCGCATCGCTTTTGTTTTGCAATATTTTTCATATCTGTCATAATAAGGGAGGGGGAGGCCAATGCGTTTTCAAATGTTTACATTTTAATATCTCCTGGACCATTCAACCGATTTGAATATTTTTGGTCTTGTTTGAAAGAGCATTTCATGCTCTTTTAAAAGATATTTTCAGTAAGACCGCTTGGTTTAAAACAAATAAGCTAGAGGGCGTTATCTGCAGCGGTTACATATTTTTGTGATTTTTGAAAAAAAGTTAAATGGAACGGTACTATTTACTTCACAGACCGTTAATCACCATAAAATTTGCTAAATATTAGTGAAAACCGCATCTCGATATCTCCATCCATTCTCGAATTATAAAAGAAAATGTTAAAAATTCGTATATCTTAATCGGATCAAGTTACCTTAGGAAACAAATAAGAGAGAACAAAAATTTTATTATCTAGAACCTTCCTTCACACTTTATCCAAGCTTAGAACTGCTTCAAAACTACTTTTGAGGCGTGTTGAAAAGCCAACGGATCAATGAAACATCAACAATGATAATAAAACAAAATAAACCGAAACACTTAGAATAACTTAAATTTTTGGCAAAAATAGCTCACTAATGTTCGAAATGTCTTACATAAACCTCGATGCATTTATTTAATCTAGTTTCGACGAAAAAAAAGCGCTGCTAAGTCTCTTCCCTGGACACGTTTTTACTGGTATTTAGTGTTTTGTCATATTTTCCCTGGTTATTGGTTTTTCTTGAAAAGTCAGGTCGTTTAGTCTACCCAATAGATAAAGGGGTGAAAGCAATGTGGGTTTTGCTCGAACCAAGAATGCATATTATGCAAGTTTACATCAGCTTGTGGACAGATGCTTCATGCATCCATAGCATTTGTGATAAAAGGTTTGGATTTGCCCAAATCATATTTAAAAGTCAATGGTAATAGTTCAGTCTGTTATCATAATCGGTATCTGTTAAGGCCTGATGTAAAACAACGTGGTGGAGATATTATTCTCTTGAGAACTCTTGTGGACAATTGTTTTCGGAGTTCCCAGATTATGTGGGATCACATTGCGCACCAATGTGATTTACGAATTCATAGAGATGTCTGAATGGGCTACACGTTGCCAGTTTTCCGTAATCGCTAAGTCAATCTTAAAAACACTTCTAGAGAAAAATGTCTTTCTTTGTCGTAATTGCATTGCACATTTTTGCCATGCAGTTGCATCGTATTCGAAACATTGAAAATAAATCATCATACGCTCTATCATACGCTTCTGCGTTAGTAAATGACATGTTTACAGTTACCATGGTAATGTGATTTGTTTTTCTCGATGAGGTAACTGGATCCGATTGATGGCACTCGAGTTTTTAACATTTTCTTCTATAACTCGAGAACGGGTGGCGATATCGAGATGCGGTTTTCACTAAAATTTAGCAAATTTTAAGGTGACTAAGGGTCTGTGAAGTAAATAGTATCGTTCCATTTAACTTTTCTTCAAAAATCACAAAAATATGTAATCGCTGCAGATAACGTCCTCTAGCTCATTTGTTTTAAAGCAGACGGTCTTACTGAAAATATCTTTAAAAAGAGCATAAAATGCTCTTTCAAACAACACCGAAAACATTCAAATCGGTTGAATGGTCTAGGAGATATTAAAATGTAAACATATGAAAACGCATTGGCCTCCCCCTCCCTTATTATGACAGATATGAGAAATATCGCAAAACAAAAGCGATGCGGTATTATCCAAGCTATTAAATGATGGTGTCAAAGTTATAGCTCATCGTCTAAGTTTCTGAGATAGCGGCAACTTTATGTTTCTCAATGGCAGTTACGCCCCCTAGCGGTCGAATTACGAACTTCAAAATAATTTCCAGCTATTTCTCTTGGTCACTTTGCTTATAAGGATTTTTTTCCCAAACCTCTTGGCCTTACCGTTCTAGAGATACAGTCGCTCCGTACGCTTAACGGGACACCCTGTATATATATATATATATATTATATCATATATGATATAATAGATTATATATATATATATATATGGTCATATTTAGAAACAGGGATGATTGTACGAAGGATGGGCCTCAACTAAAAAGAGGAGCCCTAGCCTGGTACACCGATACCTCAAAGACAGTGAGATCCGTAGTAGACATGGGTATCAGTGCACCAAATAGCCACATTAACCACTTAAGCATCTCGAACGAGCCCCTCAACTCGGACATATCCATTTTTCCAGCAGAAGTTCTTGCTATAAACTTCTGTACCGCTTTGAACCTACAAAAGGGTCAAAAAGGTGCATCCATAAACATTTTCACAGACAGGCGGGTCACCCTAAAGGCAATTCAGGCCTACACGTGTGACTTCGCGCTGATCGGAGAGTGTACCAGCAACCTAAGAGAACTCATTAGGGGCAATGATGTATTTTCTATCGTGGGTTCCAGGTCACAGAAACATTGAGGGCAATGAGAAGGTGGACAAGCTGGCCAGACAGGCAGCGAAAACGCCCTGCATTGGACACCAACCCGGTTGTGGACTACAAAAAGCCACCTAAAACAAATAATCAAAGGTAGCCTTACGCTGAAAAGAACTTCCAGGTCACAGACAATCGAACAATATGATAACTTCGTCGCAAAACAAAACCAAAGAGATTCTTTTGCATTGAGGTCTTATATATAATTAATTATTTAAAATGTACATACTAAAGGTAATTAAACAGTTACAACTTTAATTTTAAAGATATATTTGTCAGTATAGATTTTATACCTGATTTTTAGAAATTATACGAGGTGTGTAAAAATTGTATCAATTTTTATTGTTATATTAATTTATTATCTTCAGCTAAATCAGTATCTACGGTTTCATGTTTCAATAACTCGGCATCAACCATCGCTGTAAAAGGGCTATTGGAGTATCCTTGATGATTATAAAAGATCCTTTAAACAAAAAAATGGTTTATGTTATTAAATCATTGTGCCAGAAAAGATTAAGTAAAATTCATCTTACTGAAATATGTTTAACATATCTTCAGGCATTAGTTCACCCGTTCTGGTATAAACTCCCATATTTTGGCTAATCTTATAATTTTTATCAGGTACAATAAGTTTATAACCAACATTCGAGATCCATTGTCTATAGGATAAATCATAAAAATTAATAGATTAACATTTTAATTTATTGTTTTGTTGCATTACTCCAACTTTGGAATGATCCGCACGTTTCCTCTTCCAAATAATTGCTTAACAAAATAATAGTACGGAAGACACTGTTCGGGTTGTAAACCAAAATTTTCTTTTAATTGAATTTGGACTAGATACAATTTATTTAGATCGTATTTTGTAGTCTAAAATGTAAATAACGTTATTTGACTTATTTGTAATTGAAGGGTTTCGTGCAAAAAGTCCCTAAGTGATATTTTCTGGTTTTGGTACTCTTTGCGTCATTTGTTGTAGAATTGCATCTACTTTCATTTGCTACCACTGGCTTTTGTATACTCGTATAACGTCCCTACCTAAGTATCAAAATTCTCATATGAGTTCGTATAGTTCCACTGGCTATTTCTTTTTAGAAAGAGTCTCTATGTACCAACCTCAGAATAAAGACCTACGGGGAGAAATGGCCAACCACAGATGATATCACGAACACACCTCTAGGAGCTGTCCTAGCCTTTGGCAAATCCTTAGGCTGGTTGATGTGACCAGAGTGTGTGATGGGAGGATGAACAAGGGGCCCAATGGAGCCTAAGTGTGGTACACACTCCCCTATCCATACATACATGCATAAGTTGAAAAAAGTCTCTATGTTGGAAAAAGTCCCCATGTTGTAAAAAATAGTTTCAAGTTTAGTACATTATCAGTGGGCCAACGCGCCATTCTGATCTTATTAGTATGCAACACCAAATATGAGTGACAGTGAAACAAGTAGTGTACCTGGTAAGTTAATAAAACATATGTTTCTTCTTATTCTCGTAACGTATTATGTTTGTAGAACCATTTCCAGGAAGTGATAGTGATGAATGGCATCCGCCCGAAAGTGAAGTTACTGGTGTTGGAACATCAGCCGGCATTGAAGGTGTAGATGAAGCCAATACGACTGAGAAAGTTGAGAACGTGAAGAAGAGGAAATCAGTGCAACGCGATGGGCAAGAGAATAGAAGAAAACGAAGTTAAGAAATTCTCGAATACAACGCCAGATTCCTCAGTGTCGCTGTAAATGAAAAAATAAGATATCCGCCGCATATAGTAAGAAAATATTTGCCAGTTTCCAAAAACTAAGCCACAGTGAGCAAAATTGGTATTTACGAGATTGTATAATAGCAAAACTGGCTGCTCGGCATGTTAATAAAAGTAAATCACCCAGGAACGTTTTTGAATACAAAGTTACAGCTAAGGGAGAATCTAAACTAAAATTAGAACTAACACTAGAAACTTTCGGGTTTTGCCGTGCGTCTTTTAATAAAAGGTTTGACGTTTCGGATGGTTGCCATGTTGCAATCTTCTTCAGAAACTGGTTCGAAGTGACTGACTTAGTTCTAATTTTAGTTTAATTCACACCGGCCGTGAAAGCCTTCGTACTTATAAGGGACAATCTATTACTGTTTGTCAAAACACCTATTTGGCTTTGCACGATATAAAAAGAGATAGGCGAAGAAAAAAGATTTTAAAGTTTGAGATACACGACGTCAGGGATGGACAGATACACTGATAAAAGTATATGATTTTTTAAAGAACTTGCCAGCAGTAGAATCCCAGATACAAGAACTATTTAAGTTCTAACCTTACAATATCTCAACTCCATAAGGATTATTGCGAAAAGTTCCCTGAGAATCCAGTAATGTATGGAATGTAGTATGTACCAGGTTTATAGCTGATCTTAATTCTGCAAAATACAGAAAGGACGAAAACGAAATATAATCCCTCACTACCGCCAAGGAACTCCATCTTCAATGAGCACGATTGATCTACTTAAAGAGAAAAAGAATGTGCACCTAGGAATAAACTATGTAGTTATATGCTTAGATTTCCAAAAAAAATTGCCTCTACCCATACCTAACATTGGTGATGAATACTACAAGAGAGTGGCTTCATAATTTTAGCATAAACAATGTTGTCTTGATTAGTCAAGCCAGTATGTTTATCTTTACTAAACATTTTGCAATAAAAGATCCTAACGAGGTGATATCATCGTTAGATTATTATTTAAAGCAACATAGGAAGGACCACACATTTTCACCATTTTTTGTGACAACTGTTTTTCTCAAAACAACAACAGATTTTTGTTTACTTATTTAGATTCTCTTTGCGCATCGGGAATATTCACAACTATGATGGTCTACTATAGAGCCACTCCATGATGCTGATGGATCGGTGTTTCGCACTGATTGAGAAAAAGCGACTTAGGACAGAAAAAGTTGATAATCCCGACGATTACATAAAGTTCATATGGAATACTCGATCTAAAGATGCTTTTGAACTAGTGATGCTAGAACATATAGTCTAATAACAAAGTATAGTACCATTTCAAAAGATTTTTGTGGTTCTCAAGGTTTTAAACGGTTCTATGCAGACAAAATAAAGCCATGAATACCTGGTATATCAAAGTGCCAATCGGCCATGTTTTCCACTACTGAAAAATCGAAAATCAGAGAAACGATGACAGGAGAGTATTCCAACTTTGTTTTATACACGTAGCGTTGTGTCTCACGTAGCTGGTTCGTTAGAACTTCTTTAGGCTCCACTATTTGTACAGTTTTGAAATTTTGGTAGTATGGGTTCGGAACTTTCGATCTAAAATATTTTCAAGATGGCTTCTGCCGGAAGTAGACCATAACTTCGTTATTTTAAAGGGAATGCTATAGCATTTATTACACCCTTTAATTGTACGTAAAAAAATATGTTGACTTTCATAAAAGTTATTGGTACCTAGCGTCCTTCGTTATCGAGTTATTTTGATTTTAAGTTCCTTTTGGCAAATTTCACCATGCTCTCTAAAACCCCATAACCCAGCCAACGTTCATTAAAAAAAGCTCTAAATTGGCATGATTACTGTTCAGATGCTGTGAAATAGATTGTCATTTATTGTATCAAAGTATCTTATACAGGTGGTCAAAAATTGAACAACCGTTTCTCCATATTCAACCGCAAGAAAGTCGAAAATTTTAAATAGAACGCATCATATTTTATTAGTCTACCCGACAGGGATTTTAATTCTCTACAATTTATCTATAAACATTCCTATACCTATTTATTGTAGTTTCTCCCATATTGGGAAATTTATCAAAACATGCAGGAAATGCAGGAAGCCGTTTGTATTTTTATTAGAAGGCCAAGGCATTTTGACAGTTTTTCGTTTAACTTATTTCTATTATTATTTGCACTATTAACTACGATTGATAATCTTTTAGTTTAGCTTTTGCTTACCAAAACTAACAAAGAGAAGATCAAATAAATGAAACAATTAAAACAAAAAATTAATGACGAAAATTAGATTTGGATTAAAATATAAATTTATAATATAAATTTGTTATTAAATTGAATATGGAAATGTGATAAAATACGATAAAATATTTATTTCGTTGTCTTCATCACTGGTGACCTGAAATATCCGATTTCTTTTGGTCTCGATATGTCCAAAAGTCAGAAAATCTTTATCAATTTTTTGAAATTTTTCCTTGTGATGACCGTTAGGTTTGTTAGGCGTCTCTCATTAAGTATTCGACACGTCCCACAATGTTAGGAAGTTTACCAGCCATAACATGATTTTATTAATTTTCTTTTTTAATATTTTGGCAAATGAGGATCGTTAGGTTATATCGTAATACTCGCTACTTCGCAATAACCACTTTTTATTAACCTCAACTCTGGATAAAATGACATGTAAAGTTAACACTTATTTTGCATATCAATTTCCAACAACATTTGATTAATCTTGAGAAAAGATTGTAAACATATTTTTGTAATTCGCTACGGTAATGGAAGCTATAACAGTACTCAAACGGGTGCTGTAATGAGACTCCTTACAGCATCCGATGCTGTAATGAGATTTTAGGAACATTTTATGGAACCAGTTCAAGTTGGTGACATTGGGTCATTAATTTTTCTAGTTGTCAATGTGACAATTTATGTCTATGGATGTTTAAACACGTTCTTAGCATCGAATACAAAGTCCACAATGATGAGGACATTGACTCTGAGCAATTTCTCTTATTTTGGGAGGTGTACATCAAACATTTTTTTCAGGTATATAATATTTTGTGTTTTGACAGTTTCTAATTGTCAATTCAAAGTTTCTATTTTCAAGTGTTCCGGTGTTACCAACTGCTACATACCTATTTCCCTACATTGCCAAAATTTACTTTATTTTTGTTAAAAAAAAGTATAAAAACGCGAATTACAAAAAATAGCATAAAAAACACGTTTCATAAGACTTAAAGCACTCATTCATTAAAAACTCGACAATTTTTGTCTATGCATGTTTAAACACGTTCTTAGCATCGAATACAAGGTCCACAATGATGAGGATATTGAACACTGAGCAATTTCTCTTATTTTGGGAGGTGTACATGAAACATTTTTTTCAGGTGAATACATTTTGTGTTTTGACAGTTTCTAATTGTCAATTCAAATTTCTATATTCAAGTGTTACGGTGTTACCAACTGCTGCATACCTATTTCCCTACATTGTCAAAATTTATTTTAGTTTTGTTAAAAAAAAAGATAAAAACGCGAACTACAAAAAATAGCATAAAAAACACGTTTCATAAGACTTAAAGCACTCATTCATTAAAAAACTCGTGGTTTCGCCACTCGTTTTTCAACTTAAATTCGTGCATTTCAAGCGTGTCTTACGAAACTTGTTTTTTAATATACTATTACAATCTTATTATTTTTATTATTATTTTTTTTACTGTATGTGTTGTTTATGTAACACTGTAATAGCTTCTTTAGTACTGGATTTATCTATCTTTTTCTCAACACTGTTCATAAACAGATATTATTTGCAATGTTAAACTTTAATTTAAGCTACAAAAAAAGTCCCACAAGATCCCAGGTTGAAATTTGTTTTTTCATGTAGTTTCAAGCCTATACTTTCCGTTCCTAAAAAATAAATTGCGCATATTTCAGCATTTTCAATAACATGGCTAATATACAGGGTGGTGTCTACGGATATTCCACAGTCAATACTGAAAGTTAGTTTTGAAACTATCAATCGTTTAGAATTTTTCAGAATAACTATTTTTTATAAATTACTAACTTTATTATTAGATCTAGAACTAGAAGCTTTCGAAGTTAACCGTGCGTCTTTAAAAAAAGAGCCACGATTCGGTTCATGTTGTAACCTTCTTCCCAAACAAGTCCGAACTATTTTTTTAGTTAAAAAATACCTATCCAACACACAGTAATAAAAAGATAATCAATGACGCGTTAAAATGCCAAACCAGATGCCTATTTACAATAATTATTATCAGGAAATCAACACTGCTGCATTTAAAAATGTTACAAACGACACAATTCTATTATACAATTAATTATAGATATAATTCGTATTATATGCCTGTGGCAGAGTATAAAATTCTTGTGCATGACCACATAATAATAAAATCATTAAGTCCATTGGCTATGGACCGTGAAAGTGGCGGCCATCTTGAAAATATTTTAGATCGAAAGTTCCGAATGAACAACCTATGCTAGCAAAATTTCAAATCTCTGCAAATAGTGGAACCTGAGAAAGTTCTAACGAACCAGTTACGTGAGACTCCCTGTATAAAACACACAAGACACCCAAGACCCAAGATGCAATAGCAACATTTTTCCGAACCCGTCGCACAAAAAATTTTTAAAAATCAAGACAAAAAGAACAGACAAGAAAAATTGGAGAACGTCAAGTTTCTAGTTGCGCATATTGAAAAAGAAAATAGAGAATTTTACAAACTACTTGATGAACACTCAGAACAGAACCAAAAGAATAAATTTAAATTAGTTCATCTTTTTGTTTGTTTACTAGCTTTACTGTTTTAGAATAAGCTAAATTTAATACACAAATTCTCTACTATAAATTTTGATTAATTTTGTTGAAAAATCCCTAAGTTAAAATTGTTATCATCTTTTTTCTAATAGAAAAATGTATTTGTTTCTGTAAAAATCTTTAAGAAAGTAGTTACAACCTCCCAAGATAACATCCTTAAAAGATTAGACAAACAATATAACCAACAATATTTCTTGAATTGAAAATAAAAAAGCGAAAATTCTCAAAATGTGTAAGAGCTACTTAGGGACTTCTTGCTGATTTTTCCCTTCAATTTTTCTTTTTAATGGAATAATTACAATTTTCGTTCTTGAATTTATTTTGATTTTTGAATCCCATGGGAAAAAGGCATTCCTAGGTAATTCTGCCAACAATTTAGTTTCACAGAATGTTTTATAAAGTACAGAGCTTGATTGATATGCAGGAAACTCTAATGGAGGTCCAGAAGTTAACTTCTAAAACAATTTTATGTTAATAAAATCTAAACACATTCGTTTAAAATTGGTTACAAGAAAATCTCCAGGTCTAATTATAACATACAATTCCATTCTTCCATGCATTATAAGTTCCGATTGAATTGCTATCGCTTTCATCAGGTAATTTATAAAATCTAATTGAGGCATTGTTGCTATAATCACAAAACTGGGATCTAAAAATAATAATTGTTAAGCAATTTTAATTTAAAAATACAAATTATTTTACTTTCATTCCAATTCTTTTTATGAATCCCTTTGAAAAATTCTTGTATTCGTTTACCTTTATCATATTTATCCAAACGTTCCATTCGCCATAAATGTAATAAATCTTTAGAAAATATTTCCACATTTTTAAAATTTCTACCACTATAATTTTCCTGCAAATTTTATATTATTATAATGTAATAAAAACATCACCAAATTAACATACTTTTAATCTTTTTCTTAATTCTGAATGATTCTCATACAATTTCAATCTCTTAACGTTTCTCTTTAACAATTTTGTTAGATACCCCAATCCTGGATTAGCTTCACAAACAACAACATTCTCATATTTTTTTATTTTAGGTAGGATATGTTCTGCTATTATTGATGCAAGTTCAGAATCTACTAAATACAGCTTTTTAGCAAAACCATTCCTTTCTCTATCCAATAAATCTTTAGGAACAAGAGGTTGAACCGTTTTCAGATGGGAAGCACTATTAAAATAACTTGTTAAATTAGATGTGTGAGAATTAACATTCCCTTTACTTGACGCTCTGTATTCGCTAAGCCTCTTATAACCACATATTAAATTATTCTTAAATTTAATCTTATTAAACATTTTGATTTTTAGGTTAAGTATTAGTGAGGTTATGTTAAAAATAAAATAAATAGATGTGAATATAGCTCCGATAAAACTGTCAAGACAAATTGCTAATGAAAAGATTTTTAATAAAAACTTAGTGTTTGTAGTGAAATATTCGATATTAATAGTTATATAGTGGTTTAAAAACGATAACGTAAGTTAAATAATATATTTAAAAGTTATTATATGAGGGTACCACTTTTATAACCTCACTTATTTATGTATCAAACCAATTTAGACATTATTGTAATATGAGTAATCTGATAAGATATTTGTTTATAGAAAATGGCAAAAAATAAACGCCTTATGCATAGAACGGTTACGACTAGAGCACAAGCAAGAAATTTACAACAACAAGTCAATAGCGGAAACCAGACACCTAATAATAGATCTATTAAAAAGAAGCAAACAAAAAAGCATAAACGACTGTTGAAAACACGATTGTCAATGGATAATAAAAGAAAGAATAAAGCAATCCCAAAGGTTGCTAATTCACCTTTAAAAACAAATAAAAGTGACCCTTTGACAATCCAAATTCAAAAAGAACTTGAAAAGTTACGAAAGTTAAATAATGACCAACATAAAGATATTTTTGGCGATAGACACGTTTCACTTTCTGAATCACCAAATGGGAAAAGCATACAAATAACTTGTAAAAATTTTGGTGAAGAAAACATAAAAAAGGAATCCAAGATTCCAATCAAATTTGGTGATAATTGGAGTGAAGTATCAACCATTCAAGTTGAGTCTCAAAATACTTTAAATAACTCTATCAATTATAATGACACAATCCCATTTGCTTTTCCAAAAACTTCAACTTCAGATGTTAACATAAACAATTCCTCAACACCAAAATTTACATCACGTTTATCATTGTCAACACAATCAAAACTTTTTATTCAAAATCTTCAAGGAAGTAACAATTTAAACGATCTAAAAAATGAAAGAACTGAAAAAAATGCTAATGATGAATCAGATGGTGATGTTATTTGTTTGGATACTGTTGATGAATTGGAAGAAATGAATACTACTGATGATTTAATTTGTATATCCGATTCAAAATCAGAATCTTGCATAGTAATTGATGATGACAATGACAGTCCTGAAAATGTGAATCTAATTGATTTAACTTCGCCAAATAATACTTTAAGTAAAGTTACAAACCCCCAAAAAAATCAACAAACTCAATCGACCAATTCAATTGCGTCACATAATTTTCCATCTACTTCAACTCAAAGCAGAATGACGGAAAGACGCGCCGAATTTCCTGTGAGTTTAAATTCAAGATTTATGGAACCTCCTGCTGTTTTAGTACCGGTGTTACCACAACACTCCCAATTAAATAATTCATTCCACTATAACCATCAAAGTAATATTTATGGAAATAATTTTTTAAATTTTGGATCGATTCGAACTACAGGTCTTCGGCCAATTTTTATTGATGGGAACAATATTGCAATGTTGTAAGTATTAATTTTTATTAAGTCTGAGTTACAGGTATTGACAATCAAAGCAATACTTTGTAATAAAAAACAACATTACGTTTTCGTATATACAAAGTATCCAGGGGTGTTCTTGTAAGTTGTGGCATGATTTTAATCACAAATACTAGAGTTAAAATGATGATTCATGTAAAAATTTTTGTATAAACCCATAAATGGCTTAGATATGGGCTTTCATAGTTAAGAAATTTTTAAACATTTTCTTAAAATTTTCAAAATGGTTTGTCTTACAAAGATAAAATTTGGTAAACAGTGCAATTTTATCATGAAAAACCGTTTAAGATCACCATTGGAAATATGCAACCACAGGATTAATGCTATACAGGTGTTCACAAAGGTTATTTCCTTAAAACTTTTGTAAGAGGAAAAAAAAATTTATTACTGATTTTTCAAACTTATCTCAGCATAAATAATGCGTCGGATATGTTCCACTAAATCGCATGAACTTTATATTCTAACTATAGAAGTTAACTAATTATTCCCATTTTTATGTAAAAATTATACTTTTCCTAAATTAAACATTTTTCAAGTTCAATTTACGATATGTAACCAATAACATAAAAGTTACAACTTATGTTAGTGAAAAATATATGGACAAATCAAATTAAAATATGCCTAATTGAATAAAATATTTTAAATGTAAATTTATGTAATAACACACTATGTAAGTAATAATAATAATAATGATCTTTATTTCGCTAAAATACATAAAATTCTGTATTGCAAAAACGTCCGGAAAAAATATAATAAATTTGAGTTTAAAACAGTTTATGTAGGGATGAAGAAAAAAAGAAAAATAATTGCAGAATCGAAAACCTCAACCTCTCATACAATTTAAAAACTCATTTTCACTGTAGAAAGCGCCTTTAATAAGTACTTTCTTTGAGTCTTTTTTAAAAATAGTTGTAGACTTTTGTAACCATTGCTTGGGAAGAGCATTTAACAAATGACGGTGACCGTATCTTGTCATAGTTGTTTTCATACGGCAGTACGGTATGGCGACTTGTGTACCATTTCTTAAATTTATCTGAGTGTCCTCTTTTCTGCATAATAATGAAGGTAATTCTACTTTAGCCTTGCAAAGTTGTTGGTAGATGTACACAGATGGAAGTGTGAGTACGTTATATTTTTTAAATAGGGGCTTAGTTCTTGGATTCGCCTGTTCAATTATTCTTAGCGCCTTTTTCTGCAGTATGAAAACAGGCATTATATGACCAGACGCTTCCCAAAGGCGTAGCTCATCTTGCTATGGAAAAAAGCAAAGTAAGCGGTTCTAGCAGCAGAGGCGTTTACTATTTGGCGAATTCTTAAAATAGCGTAAATGGCAGATGACAGTTGTTTCATCAATATGTCGCTATGATCTTTCCAGGTGAGTCTACTGTCCAAGTTGATACCTAATAGTCGGACGGTAGCCGTCTTTTGCTTAGTGTTACTATTAGTAGTCAAAGTGATTACTTCGGTTTTGTCATCATTTAAGGTCAAACCGTTGTTACTGAACCATTCAGCAGCCTCCTTCAGAGCACAAGCTATAGCTGTTCTGACCGGTACTGAGCCACTCTCTATCAAAGTTGTATCATCTGCTTAGTCCTATTTGATGGACAGCACGTAGTCCTGATTTTACAATTACGGATTTTTATTTTTGGGGACGATTGAAACAAATTGTTTACAATTGTTGGGCTTCAGATGAAATATTTTCAGGTAGATCATTGATATATAAACAGAAGAGAAGTAGCCCCACCAGCGATCCCTGCGGTACTCCGTTTATCACAGGTAAACAAGAACTCATTTCACCGTTGAGGCTGACCGCCTGACTCCTATCTGTTAGGTATGAAGTAATCAGTTCCAGTGGTCTTGCACGTATACCATATTTTTCCAGCTTGGCAATAAGACGAGTATGTTGAATGGAATAAAAAGCTTTTGTTAGATCACATAGGATCGCTGTTGTTTCATCTCCATTTTTCATAGCTTCCCAAACATTATTAAGGAGAGTCTCCACAGCATCAATTGTGCTCACACCTTTTCTGAATCCAATCTGTTGGTGCTGAGTAGCTTATACTTTCCGAGATAAGATGTTAATCTGTCTAGTAGTGTCCTCTCAAATACTTGAAAATATTGGTAATATGGATATCGGTCTATAATTAGAGCAATTTGACGGTTCTCCTTTTTTATCGATTGGTGTTACCCTTGTAATCTTCATTACTCTTGGTACAACACCTTCTTCATAGCACGAATTTATTATATTAGCTAAAGGAGCAGATATTTGGTCGGCACTGTACTTTAGAATTTTAGTGTTTAGAAAGTGTATGTCCATTGAACTTTTGCATTTCAAATGTGATATGGTTTCTTTAATTTCATTTGGAGTTACGGGTGTGAGAAACATGGAATGACTCTGAGATTTTATTTTAGCAGCTGCTGAAGCTCCAACGTTACATACATGTTGCCGATGCTTGCGAAAAATTTGTTAAGCTCATCCTTCGATGGTTGATTATCCGTTGTCCTCTTATTCCTTTGAATTTCGCCGTTGATAATTCTCCACATCCCAGCTTGCCGATTACCAGACTCTTGGATACTTTTAACATATTGATCCCTCTTGCGCTCTTTCGCAAAATTAATATAAAAATCTTTGTAACTCTTTAGAATTTCTTTTAAATCTTCACCGCCACGGGCGTTATAAGTTTCTTGTATGAGATTTAATGTTTCTTTCACCTGCAGAGTTTGAGCATCCATTACATATTGTTTTCTTTTACGTGGTCTTTGTTGAATTGGAAAAGGAATATTCACGAGGTGTAAATATAAATTTAGAAAAACATCGTGTTTGTTTTCAGCCCCGACTGTATTAAAAACAGTGTTCCAAGTTTCATTTTCCAATAAATTTTTGAACTGCAATTGTCCGTATATTTTGGTATTGACTACTGGAATAGTTGGTAAGTTTAAAACGATTCCATGATGGTCAGAGATCCTAGATTTAAGAATGCTAATGGTGTATAGATCGACATTCGTGAATATGTCGTCAATTGAGGTTCTAGTCGTTGTTTGAGTCGTTACAGACTCTCTTGTGTATTCAGAGGTAGTTGACTTTAAACCCACGCAAGCCATAGTATTTATGAGCTCCCGTGTAGCCCCATTGAATATTAAAGTGTCTATGTTGAAATCTCCTGTTATGACGATTTTGGTTTCCGGTTTAAATTTTTGCATTAGACCCAATGTTACCATTTCAACTTTTTCAAGAAATATATTTAAGTTAGCATTCGGAGATCTGTACGTAGTCATGATGATTATATCTAACTGTGTTAAATAGATTCCAGCTATCTCACATTCCATTTCAATTGAGTGTGAACACAAGTTTTCAATTTCGATATACTTGTAGTCATTACAAACATATATACAGACTCCGCCAGCTTTATGCTGTGTTCTTATAAAGCAGCAGGCTTGTGTATAGGAGTCTATGTCAAATATTTTTGCATTTGATGTATTTAACCAGTGTTCGTTAATGCAGAGAATGTCAATTTTATTTGTGTGTGCGATAACCTCTAAAGCTTCAACTTTATTTGAAAGCCCCTGTATATTAATATGCATTATATTTAACATATTATACGGCATATCATAGCGATTTTTGCATATGTGTTGTTCGCGATTTATTATTGAACCCTCACGAAACGTTCAAATTACGTTTCGTGAGGGTTCATAATTTTTTCAAAATTTCTCATCCGCAGTAATTTTGAAAGATGAGTTATTCTGGATGTTTTGAATTCACGCTGTCACAGGTAACTTCAGGAAAATTTTCTTTTAGATGGTTTACAATAAATTCTGTTTTAGTTGAGTAATAAATATTAGGAGTATTTATTTGTAAGTGAACAAATCCTCATTCAAACAAATGCCCTCCTAATTCGGCACACATTTGAAGACGAGTTCTAAATTCTTTACAAGAATTACGAATTTCCGCCAGTGGTAGAGATTCTATCACATTAATCATTCTTAATTTTAATACTTCTGCATCATCTTGTAATGACTGTAACAATTGTAAACAATTTGTTTCAATCGTCCCCAAAAATAAAAATCCGTAATTGTAAAATCAGGACTACGTGCTGGCCATCAAATAGGACCATTTCGTTCAATCCATTTTTGACGAAATTGTAAATTTAACCATTTGGCACAATGGGTGAATGGTAAGCTGGGCAACTGTCTTTCTGAAAGTACACTGACCGTATAAAATTTAAGGGTAATTGGATTTACATCGCTCCAATAACGACAATGCTGGGAAGAAACAATGTCATTTGTTGAAAAGCTATCTGAAAAGCAGCGTCTTCCTCATTTAGTCTCTCTGTCTGCCTCTTTATGGATAATACAGAACCCGATTCAAATTTTTTTTCATCTGTTTGCGAGCCCCACGTGAGATATTCTTGTGTCCGGATATTTTTGCTGGAATTTTTGTATAACTACACGAAAACATGATTCACTAGTACCATAGTACAGTACTAAATAAATTCTCTCTTTCACGGTTAACATCGCATGAAAAGACTTAATCTCACCAACATAAGTTGTAAGTTTTATGGTTTCTATGGTTACATATCATAAATTGAACTTCAATTTCAATTTAGAAAAAAGTCCAATTTGTACATAAAAATTGGAATAATTAGTTAACTTTTATAGTTAGAGTATAAAATTCATGCGATTTAGTAGTTTGAACATATCCGACGCATTATTTATGCTGAGATAAGTTTGAAAAATCAGTAACAAACATTTTTTTCCTCTTTGTAACTCTATTCGGGGACATACTGTATTTGGTGCACTTCAATGCTAAACAAGCGTTTTAACCGTTTTAATGTTATTTAACCCGGAGAATAACATCTCACAGTAATACATTGAAGAAAATATTGTTAATAACGCCATCGCTAGATTTTTTATGTTACTAAAACTGTCAGGTTCGTAGTTGCACTCTCCTTCATTATTTAAACGATTCC